ATCTGTCTGTCTGTCTGTCTGTCTGTCTGTCTGTCTGTCTGTCTGTCTGTCTGTCTGTCTGTCTGTCTGTCTGTCTGTCTGTCTGTCTGTCTGTCTGTGTGTGTGTGTGTGTGTGTGTGTGTGTGTGTGTGTGTGTGTGTGTGTGTGTGTGTGTGTTCAGGCTACGACAGTGACGTTGCTCGTGAGAAGACGGTGGATTACACAACGAAGATGTACGCCGTCAGCATCAGAGAGATGAGAGGAACCAAACCTCACCAACAGCTGAGAGAGGTCTCTGCAGAGGAGAGGTATACACACACACACACACACACACACACACACACACACACACACACACACACACACACACACACACACACACACACACACACAACATTCAGCATGATGTCCCTTTAAATAATGCTTTTTTAAACGTTATAAATCTGAAACTGTGCAAATCTTTTATGAAATATTTCATCTTATCCTTGGTGTGTGTCATCAGTATGTCTGTGTGCTTGTGTGTGTGTTAGTGTGTGTTAATGTTAGAATGTATACACTTGTGCTTTCACGTGTTCTGTTTAAAATAGAAAGGACTTTTTTAATCTAATGCATGAAAAGCTTCTGCATGGTCGATTGATTATATTTTGTCCACTCATTCGTGGCTCAGTTCTGTCTGTGCTCGAGCAAAAGCTGACGGATTAGTTAACATTTTAGTGTTTAGTTTTTAATAAGACCTTGTGTGTTTTGCAGCCTAAAGTCTTGTTTTTGTCCCTTGTGGTACCCTTACTTCCTAAGTGTTGCTCTCTCTTGGAGTAACTCTTAATATCTGTGTTGTGTTTTCACTTGCTTTCCCCTGGAGGCAGGGCATTGTCAAGTGAGTATGAGCGGATACTGATGTTAATATTTAACACATCACTTTAGAAATTCTGATCAATTTCAATAAATGAATACAAAAGTACTGCATTCATTTCAAAAGTAGTCCAAAACAAATGAAGAAAAGTATTAAATATTCACATAAATAACATTTTAAAGCTGAGTTTATTTATTTTTAATAATCTTGATTTTGTATTAAACATATTTGCCGTTTCTTACGTATAATAAAATCAACCCTCAGATTGCATGTTATCCTGAAAACAACCACCTGTAGCATGGTAGCATTTTGTTAGCATGTAGCTAGCACACAGGTGGTCATATTATCTTTAAGTGTGTGGGTGTGTGTGTTGGCATTACCTCACACTGTCTGTTCCTCCACCTGTCTTTGTCTGAGTTTAAATTATAATGGATGTATTAATGATTTAACACCCTGATTGGTCCTCCAGGCCTCCAGTGAGTCGAGCGGCACCGCAGCCAGAAAAACTGCAGAAGAAGAACAACGTGTCTAAGAAGAAGAGACTAGTGGAGGTCAGTCTGTCTTCCCTCTTTCTCTTATTCATTATTAATTGTATTATTCTTTCCAATGTTTGCTGATAGCGATTGAACTCTGTTGCAGGACCTGGTTTTGGAGCACGTGTTTGGTTTTCGAGGATTCGATTGTCGTAATAACCTTCACTACCTGAACGACGGCACAGACATCGTTTATCACACGGCCGCCACCGCCATCGTGCACAGCCTCAGCACCGGTAACACACTCACTGTGAACGCTTTAACCTTTAACCCCATGTGACACAAGATAGTTTAATTTAATAACATTAAAGATCATCTTTCAGGTTCATATCAGTATGTAGTGTCTCTACTTTAAAGAGTCCTCTCCTGCTGATGTTCAGGTGTATATCAGTATGTAGTGTCTCTACTTTAAAGAGTCCTCTCCTGCTGATGTTCAGGTGTATATCAGTATGTAGTGTCTCTACTTTAAAGAGTCCTCTCCTGCTGATGTTCAGGTGTATATCAGTATGTAGTGTCTCTACTTTAAAGAGTCCTCTCCTGCTGATGTTCAGGTGTATATCAGTATGTAGTGTCTCTACTTTAAAGAGTCCTCTCCTGCTGATGTTCAGGTGTATATCAGTATGTAGTGTCTCTACTTTAAAGAGTCCTCTCCTGCTGATGTTCAGGTGTATATCAGTATGTAGTGTCTCTACTTTAAAGAGTCCTCTCCTGCTGATGTTCAGGTGTATATCAGTATGTAGTGTCTCTACTTTAAAGAGTCCTCTCCTGCTGATGTTCAGGTGTATATCAGTATGTAGTGTCTCTACTTTAAAGAGTCCTCTCCTGCTGATATTCAGGTGTATATCAGTATGTAGTGTCTCTACTTTAAAGAGTCCTCTCCTGCTGATGTTCAGGTGTATATCAGTATGTAGTGTCTCTACTTTAAAGAGTCCTCTCCTGCTGA